CCGACTTGACCTCTTTCCCTTGGCTGGGCTGCGCGGTACCACTTTCTCTGCTGCCAACTGAGTAACCAGATTTTGTATCCCCAAAGCGTCTGCAAATGTCCTGTTCATGGTTCTAGTCTCTCATCGTTTTGCGCGCTGCTTCGAAAAGGCAATTGCGGCTTACCCTGCGGCGGTGCCGGCTCCCGTTTGACGGCATCAAAAGGCTCACAATTGCTGGAGTGTGTTCCTCATTCTGGTTGTCCTCGGGCTTAAAGGGTTCTGTTTGTGCTTCGGCAACTTGGGCGGATGATAGAGCTGGGTTAGGTCTCTTTCCTTTGCGAGATTCATTTGCGACGAATTCATAACAATTTTATTCCGTCTGCAGCTTCTTCGGCTATCACACTTTCTGTTTTATTTGAGATCACAATTTTATCAGCTTTTATGCTTTCCACATCTTCCACATCTTTTACATTTTTCTCGATCTTTTTAGCTGTATCCAGATCTTCAGTCGCTAGATTTATCTCTGCTAATTGTTCGGCTGCCTCATGCTGGGATTGTTCCTTATTGCCTGTCGCTTTCGGAGCGGTTTCTTTGTCAGCCGGAGTTCCCTCGTCACTTTAGCAATGTCGGATGAGATTTTCGTGTCTGGCACCTGGAATGGTTCTTCAGCAACCTTTGTGGCTATGTTCGTCTCGTTCGGCTTCGGAGCACTTGCTTTCTTGTTGCGCTGCACCAAATTGACTTTGCCCCTTTTGGGCTTATAAGGCACTGGCTTAACGGGTTGGGGTTTCTCCTTTGCGCACTCCGCTTCAACCGTGCAAACGGGCGCTATATCCTTGGTCTCATCAGGGGTGGGTGATGTTTCTACCAAACTTGTGACCGTTGACAATGGAGTCTTCCTCTTTGTATTGGTCTACACCATGTTTGGGAGCTGTTACCTTTAACGGTTGGAACTTGGATATGCTTGTACTTTCTGCATCTTTATCATCGACAACTGGACTTTCCGTCTCTTCCGGACGTGCGCTGCTTTGCAATTTGATGGCATTGGGACTAATACAAGACATTCGGCTTGTTGCCGCCATTCACATTCAATGTGGCATGCAATATATCCATATCCTGCATTTGCAATATCTTGCCAATGGGCAGGTAGTCCTCGGGTCTAACCGAAACTGGAGCTGGATTTGAGCTGTGGCTGCTGCCAAACTTGGCATTCATGCTCAGCTCCTCGGCGGACAGCTCCAAATAGTTATTGGGATCGGCATCCTTTTTGGCAGTCAACTGTTCTATGAAATCCACGGCGGACAGTTCATCGCTTCCGGCTCTGCTTTAACTTCCACAGATGATGATGTTGATGATGTCGGCTTTCCTCTAGATGTGGTTGCGGTCAACGAGACGTGGTTATTGCCTGCTTCGTCAGCTGATGCCATCATCGGACTTGGGCAAGATTTTACAATTGGAGTTATCAATGATGAAGGCGGGATTGTTGTTTTTGATGGTATCGCCGAGGAGGAGGTGGAGGTGGAGGCGACTTGACTTATCGTTGTGCTGCAAATCTTTGTTCTTGTGGACGGTGATGGAGTTGTAATTAGGCTGGGAGCTAGCCCAGTGCCCATTGCTGGCACCGGTATTATGGCTGGAATGTCAGTGCTTGGCTGCTTCTGTTGCTGCACATGCTGCATTGCTTGCTTCCGCACCTCCTTGGCCAACTGGGCAAGCTCTTCACGTGGCACTTTCAGCTTGTTGACATTCAGTATCATTTTTTTGACCGGTGCACTGCTACCCTGTAATTTTCCCAGAATATCTTTGGCTTTTTCCATGGGCTCTTTCAAATTGTCTGCATTTCTGGTCTCATTGGGCGTAGTGGGCACAATGGTTAGCGCAGAGGGTGGCACTGCAGCGGATTGGCCGTTGGGCAGCCGCAGAGCTCTCAAATCGATCTTCTCATTGGGAGCCAACACCTTGTTCTCCAGAACAATCAGCGGCGGCGGAGATTTCGCCAATGGTGCAGATGCTGCAGTTGCTGCTGCTGCTGGTGGTGCTTGTGCTTGTGCTTGTGCTCGTACTGGTGATGATCCTGCGCGTGGCGCAGGTGGTGTTGATCTTGACTCCTGTTGCCTCTTTTGTTGCTGAGGTTTAATGCTTCCACAAGTTGCTCGCTGCTTGGGCAACTGATTGACCAGATTGAGCAACAGGGCCGGCTTGGCACGCGCCGTCAAGTCGGCCTTGGCTATGGGCATAGTAAAACCTCCAGATGCTGCTCCTGAGCGTACTCCACTAATCTCAGTGCTTGGCGCTGTTGTTGTCGTGTCTGTTGGCTGTTGATGCATTTGAGATTGTGCGGATTTGTTCATTATTTTGTTTTTAATAAGCGCTTTAATATGCGACGATGGCTCAGTCGCGGACGCTGGGCTATTATTCCTGACAGATTTTGAAGCTGTAGTTGAATTGAAAAATGCATATTAATACTTAAGTTTTATACAAATATATTTCAAAATCGAATTAATTATATATGAACAACACTAACAAGAAGTGATAAATCGCTTTAGAAAAATGTTTTTTTTTATAAAATTAATAAAATAAAATATCCCGCTATGTGAATTGAACCCTGGCCCCCAAGTCTAAGTCTCAATATTCATACATCCTACCACGCACATTATCATGCTACACCACAGAAAGAACCCAAACAACCCTGTCAATTATAATACTTGAACAAATTTTGCAGGGTTAGGGCTCAAAAAAAATATAATGCCCTACACCAGGGTGTAATTGCGTTAATATTTAACCATCTGAGATATGCTGAGCATTGCTGGATGCAAATAACCAGCAATAGAGGTTTAAAAATAAAATAAAAAATCGTAGTTAAAATTTCTATTTGTATAGACCGGATTTACTCAGTAAAATAAAAAAATTGTCGCTCGGGTCCCGTCACGAACTCGGACCGAACACCGATTGACAACTTTAAAATACAGCGCGCACTTACGCATCAGCGCTACAGAACGTCACAGATGTGTAATGGCCAATACACATACATAATAACATTATTATTTAAAACAGCCAAATAAAAATTCCCCCCCTACACACTTTTTCTTCTTACGTACAATCAAATTTAATTCAGTTAATGTAATTACCAGTCTGATGCTCGCGTTGCGGCTGCTTTTGTGAATGCATAGCAGGCGTTGTCGCATTTGGCTGCGCTGCTGCAGCGGAGGTGGCAGATGTTGGTGCCAAGGCAGTCGTTGCTGATGCAATATTTTTGGCTGCATTCATATTTTGTTTACTCAATGCCTCTGCCAGTTTCATATGCAGGCCAACCTGCTTTAATTTGTTAAAATCCAATGGTATTTTATTGATAATACGTTTGGGCGATGGTCCCGCATTGCGCGACGGCGGCTGCGAGGCAGACATCGGTATCTTGTTATTTTTTGGTTGATTCTGCCTGGCATTGGCCATTGCTGGTGTTTTAAAACAATGCTTTTCCGCTTCTTCCATTTCAATTAAAGCTTAGTCGGGTGTATCCAATTACGCAGCGAATTGTCGTAAACTACAAATTTACATTACAATTTATTTTCGCAGCGCATTTCAGACTGCAAACAGGATTCAAATGAAACACGAACTAGATATTATATACTTGGATTCTACCAATTTATTACTCTCACTTATTAAGTGCTAATAATTGGCCGAACTTTTAATTAATTTAAACTTTTATATGCAAAAAATGGGAAACATGTGCAACTCCTAACACTGACCAGAGTGACCGTTTCTTGAAAGCAGCAATATCCAGAATTAATTAAATTATCGATACATCGAGTAAGCAACTTATTTTTGTGTGACGATTAACTGCCTTAAAAACTATTTGCCACAGTTCATTGCCAAATCGAAAGTTTTATATAACAAAGTATAATTGCAACCATTTACATTATTAGTTGATTTGGTTATTAGTGTTCAGTATAATTTACAGTAAATATCGGTATTAACTATAATCGATAGTGTCGTTTGTCAAATACAGCCTGACAACCCTGTGTAGCGAAAATACAGCGTTTGCTTTTCATGTAAAAAGTTGATCTAGTTAAATTAACTAAAAACATGGATTTCCAGAATCGCGCCGGTGGCAAAACCGGTAGCGGTGGCGTCGCCTCCTGGTCAGAGACAAATCGCGAGCGAAAAGAACGTCTGCGACAGCTAGCGCTCGAAACCATCGATCTAAACAAGGATCCGTATTTTATGAAAAACCATCTTGGCTCCTATGAGTGCAAACTGTGCCTGACTCTCCACAATAACGAAGGGAGCTACTTGGCGCACACGCAGGGCAAAAAGCATCAGGAGAATTTGGCCCGTCGTGCTGCCAAAGAGGCCAAAGATGCGCCCTCTTCGCTTCTAGCGCCCGAGAAACCGCGCGTGGAGCCCAAGAAGTTTGTGAAAATCGGCCGTCCCGGCTACCGTGTGACAAAACAGCGTGAACCCACCAATGGTCAGCAGTCGCTGCTGTTCCAGATCGACTATCCAGAGATAAGTGACGGCATTGTGCCGCGCCATCGCTTCATGTCCGCCTATGAGCAAAAGATTGAGCCGCCAGATCGCAAGTGGCAGTATCTGCTCTTTGCGGCCGAACCGTATGAGACAATTGGCTTTAAGGTGCCGTCGCGGGAAGTGGAAAAAACTGAGGGCAAGTTCTGGACGCACTGGAATCGAGATACCAAGCAATTCTTTTTGCAGTTTGCGTTCAAATTTGAGCCAAAGATATTGCCACCGCCGCCGCCGAATCTGCATCGCGCCTTGGGACCGCCAGCCGGCTTTCCCATGCCGGGACCACCACGTCCGACCATGCATCCCATGTTCAATGGCGTGCCGCCACCACCACCCATGTAACCTAACTTTTCTAATAGTCACAATAAAAACCATACTTTACAGTAAAGATATTCAACATATTTCTCGGCGGGATTCAAATTAACGCGTGACAGTCTTAAAAAATTCTTCCCATTACCTAAAATCCATTGACAGTCATGGCAAGCTTCAAATGCAGGAACTCATCTCAAATCCCATGCGACCTGTAGATGTCTTTGTTGCCTCGAAAATACATCAATCTAAAGGAGCATCTGCATGAGCAGAACCAGGATGAGGATTGGAATTTAAAGGGGAACAGAATCAGGTAAGTGCAGATACACTAATATCTCCAGGATCGTGGACAGGTTGCATATTAACTAAAATCTTAGTAGTCTATAAATCAATAATAAAAGACAACAAATAGAATTTCTATTATTTCTTTGCTTAAGACTTGAAAAAATATTACATACTTAATTATAATTGTGTAGTTATTTTTGTGTGATTTCTTTAGTTTTTCTGTTTTGTTGTTGTTTTTTTTTTTGTAAAGTTTTATCTACAAACTTTTATGCGTAAAAATTAAATTAATTTAAAACTAATGACGTACATAGTTATCTTAGGCAATATACAAAACTTATCAATATATGAATATATAGCTAAAGGCGCAACGTGTCGTTGTAGGCTTCGATTCGCTTTAACATCATCAGCCATAATTATAATTTTTCGCGTTTCTTAAAATTGCGCTTCGATTGCAAACGATTTGATTATGTCGAGAACATGAGGCTTGTGATCAAAGATCTTCATCAACTGATTTTGGGCCTCGTTGATGCCGTCGGTGATAATCTTGCTACGTTGTATGTTGCCTGTGAAAAAGACGTTTTAGTTAGTTATGCGCATATGTATCCATATCGATTTTTTGACTCACCTTTAAAAGCTCACTAATTCGCTCAATTTCACCGAGTTTGTCTTTGTCCTTTTCGAGTACCTTCAACATTGTTTCTAGTTGGCTTAAGCTAACCATTTCCGAATCATTCTGTAATTTGTATACATGTATAGGCAACTCCTCAAAAAAAATTGCTTGCCCTTACCAAATCCTCCATTTGCGAGCGCAAATGATGAATCTTCCAGCCGCTAATTTTCTTCTGACATTTTGGTTGATTGGCCAAATCAATGACTGTTGCGCGTCGCTCATCGCGCGGCTTTACGTCCGTGTATCGATGGAAATGATTGTTTGCCAGCTTGTGCAGTCGGCTTGTATGTCTGCATGATGGACAAGAATCGTGTGTTATTATCATGAAACAGTTTAGACAGACGCCCATCTGTTGTCGTAACTCACATTGAGCAGCGCACCATTACGCGGACGTCGCAGCACAAAGTCCACAGGATTTGCGTTCTCCTTGTTGCCAGCCACAGCCGGCGTAACCGCTGCCAGCCACACGATTGATTATTCACATCGCCAGCGCTGGCATTGGCCGTGGTGGCTGCGCTGCCAGCGGCCGTTACCAGCAGGCCGCCATATGTTGTGTTGTTGCTGCTGCTGCTGCTGCTGCATAAAAGTCGAGGCTGCCTCTTGCGTGGTGCTGCTGCTGAGACTGCTTACGCTGCCCATTGGCGGTGGCAGGGACAGTGATAACGATGCCTGGCTTGATTGGAGTGCTGGCTATCGTTGCTATGGGTTTTAGAATGTAAAGCAAACGTTCGTTTTAACATATTAGATATGGTAAAATAATTCACAACTCACGTGAGCGTCGCGGGTTTCTTGCGTGCCAAGCCGTAATCGGGAATTGCTGCCACTTCCGCCGGTGCCATTCATGCGCGCCTGCTGCAATTGGCTTGCCGTCATGTAGTTGCTTGTGTTGTTACCAGAAATGCGATGGCCTGTTGCTGTGACACATCCACAAAGGCGCTAGCAACGCCGCCTGCTACGTGCGCCCAGCGTTTATGCGTTTGCGGTAGGATGACTGATGAGATGAGTATAGCTGGGACAGCATACGCCGGATTAGGTTGAGGACGAGTTCGAATTGATTGAAAAAAGAATAGTTTACCTCGTTTATGGGATTAAAGTGTGTGGCATTGTCGCGCCCTGCAGTTCCAGCAGGTTCGTCGCCAATTCGGTTAATGGACAGATTGCTGTCCTGCATTTGCTGATCCACGCCGGGCGAGAGTTCGCCGAGACTGTGGTGGAACCATCAGAAGAAGCCGGCGACTCGGCACGCACATTTCGTGTGCTCACAATGCTAACCCGCTGTTGTCGACATGGACGCTGTGGGACGCCGAGGATGTACCAGCTGCTGCTGCTGCCGCTGCGGCGGCGGCGGCGGAACTGACACGCTTCACGTTCCTTCTTGGCCAGCGCCTCAACAGTTAGGCTGAGCTGACCGCCGTTGTGGTCCGGCGGTTGCGTCGCTGGCGTCACTGTGACTGGCTGTAAATTAAATGCCGAGCCACCAGCTAGATTCACCGCAGTCACATTACCCACCGATGCGGAGGCGTTGCTATTGCTGCTCATGGATAGCAGCGTAGGCGGCCAATTCTTGACACCACGTATGGGCGAGCCTTCGGCATCGCGTTTGCGCATAAAACTCGACACGAGTGTATTTGCCGCGACCGGCACCGGCACCGGCATGGGCAATGCACTAACTGTGGCGCCGCCAGCCGGGTCGTTGTTGGCACGGCGCCGGTTTCACCTTGACGGATGTGTGCAGCGGTATATGACCATGTGCTGAGGTGGTCCACAGCCGCATGTGCAGCACCCGCCGGTTATGAGGAGCTGCTGATGTCCATGGTGCGATTGCCACCTGCCGCTGCCGACGAATGGCAGCACCGTAATGTGGCTTGGATCCGCCGCCGGTTCCACTTGCTGTGCATGGCTTGGCAAGGGCAGCGAGGAACGGAAAGGCTGCTGCCAGCCACTGATGCTCACCAATTGGGCCTGTGCCGGGCTTGTGCGTGAAGCCTGGCCGTGCGTATGGGTGCTCTGGGTGACCGTCGTGGTGGTCAGCGAGAGCACCCCGTCGAGGCCGCATGGACTCATAGTAGATGGCCGGAGCTGCCCGTCGGCAAAAGGATGTGGCCCGCCGAGGGATGTAGACACGTAGTTGCCCGCTGTCGCTGACACGCTAAAGCCACTGCCTCCGCCGCTGCGCTGCTGTATGAAACAAGTTGGTCGATGTGCCAGTGGGTGTCAGGGCCGCTGCTGGTTGCCACATCCACTCCGGATGACTGTGTCATCATCATTTGCCCACAGTTATGCCGCTGGCATTCTTGATGGGCGTCAGTGGTGCCCGTCAAAATGTTGCTTGCGGGTCCGCCACGTCCGCCATGGTCAAAGGCAGCACCGTGGGCGCCGCCGGCAGCGGCCACAGCTGCTGAGCTGCCACCCGACACGGAGCTGGGCGTGCCGCTGGCCGATACACTCGGCACCGCCTGTATGCTGGCCACGCCCTGCGGCGCCATTGTGGGCCCACCAGCACCGCCTGCCGTCGACAGTTTGCCAATCGGATTCAACTGCGTAATGGTCAGCGAGGGCTGCACCTTGGCGGTCATTGTAACCGGCGGTCGAATGCCTGCAAAGAAACCCAAACAAAAATTATTATGTATATTATTATTATTATTATTAACAAGAGCAGCCATAGCATACTTCTATAAAAAAGATATTCGCAGAGAATATTTAGCTACATTTATGCGTATCTCTACAAACACATACATAAAACCTTGCCATGAGCTGTCAATTGCAAACTGTTTACGTTCAACAAGGTTTACACGAAGCTATTGAATCATGATAAGAAATCTATCGATTAATTGAGCTGCTGTCATGAAACAAATTTCCAACTTTCATGGTTTCTCTTGCAAGAACTCCACAAATAAATATTAAATTTAAAAAATATATTTAAATATTTGAGGTCTCTTTGTAAGTATATAGTATATAGGCACACTTACCCATTTTGGCCGCCGCGCTGGTGCTCATGAGGAAGGGCTGCAGCATGACATTCGGCGCCAGACGCGTGGTGGAGCCAATGATTTGGTGAGCGCCGCCAGTTGCCGGCTGCTGCAGCTGAATGATTCGTGTGGTTGGCAAATTTGCGGGCAGTCAGAGCAACGGGCGCCACGTTTTGTTCCTGCGCCAGTGCCACCAGGACCGCGACCAGCCACTGTGACGCCACCGGAGACGCTCACTGGCGTGGGCGGAGCAACGTTGGAGTTAAGCTGCGGTATGCTGGGCGCTCGAATGCTAATGCTTGTCGTGTTCAGTTTGGTGGCCGGAAAGCTTTTGCCCAACGGTATGGGACGCACCTGACGTGGCGTCACGGTGGTGCCGCCCGGTGTTGTGGCTGTGCCGCCAGCGACGCTCGTCGCACTGCCGATAGGCGTGGCAACGGCGAAGCGAGGATTGACTGCTGATTTGACATCGTGTTGGGCGAGCCGGCAGCTGACACATTTGAGGAATAGACAAGCGTCGCCTGGTGCTGGCGCGGTGGCAGAACGGTTGCCACATAAGCCTGAGGTATGCCCGTGGGTCCGGATTGCTGCGGCGGCATCGGCTGTGCCGCAGAAACGGTAAGAGCTGAAAGAAGCAACATTTGTTATTGGCCATAAGGAACTGTTAGTTGATTCTGTGCTCACATGTTGGCGTCTGAACAGGTGTGGCTGTTGTGGAAACGTTGGCACTGCTCACGCCCGCTGATGTGGTAATGATGCGTTGCCTGGGCTGATGTATAGCACGTATGAGTTGCACCTGCCCGGTGTTACTCTGCATCCAGGCCGCCGTAGCGGGGCTATTGGCCGACGAGATGACCGTCGAGGGCTGCGAGGTGCGCACAAAATTACCCGTGCTACTGAGCCCCGTGGGCGCCGGACTAACGCTGGCCGTCGATGTCGCACGCAGCGGCGTGACCAGTCGTTGGGCGCCCGTCACACCCACGCCGCTCATCTGTGTGGCCGTGACGCTGGCACGCGGCAAATAGGTGGCCTGTGTAACTGGCCGTGTCACCGTGATGGATGCATTCGAGACGCTGCGAGCCGGTGTCGCCGGTATGGCTGTGATTTGTGTTCGGCCCGTGGCTGTGACATTCTCCAGCTGCTTGATCATGGGCATGACGACGCGCACCTGGGTCGACTGGCCGCCGGCGCCAATGGCTCGTATAGAGGCGGCAGTGGTGGCCTGGCCAGTGTTCAAAGCAATGGGTGTGCCGCTGAGCGATGTCTGCACAGTGTTCCCGCCGGTGGCCACTTTAATGGTGCCGCCGCTAATGATGGGCGTTCCGGTTATAGAAATGCCGCCGTCGGCCTTCACGTGCGTTATCTTGGCGGCAACTGTGGAATGTGCTGCTGGTGGCAAATGAGGTAATGAGTATCTGTTTATGGCGCCACGCAAGTGTACGTGCGATTGTGTGGGTGATACCATTGCATTTTGTTTTGTTTGTGTTGGATATCAAGTGCATTGTATTTGGATGGGGATGAGTGCGTATCTTAACGGCTTTTAATGTGGCTGTATTTTAGAAAATAAAAAATAGGAATGGAACAACACTTTTCTAGCTCATATTAATTGGCAACGCCACGAAAAATACTAGCTGGCATCGCTACAACGGATTCACAATAACAACAAAACATACACATTCACACACACACACAGCCATATGCTACGAATGTGTGGGAAAAGAAAATTGTAACAAACACTGCGCGCGTATGCGACCATAAAAGAGAACTAACAAGTACACTGGCACAAGCACACACACACACACACATACACGTGCAGTTGCAAAGCACAAAAATGTTATGTATACACACTATGCCAACACATATATGTATTTATATATACCTATGTGAGTATACATTATAGATATCGCATCAAATACATACCAGGCGCCGTTGTCGTAGCTGTACCTCCAGCGCTGCCACCCACCGCACCGCCTGCTCCACCTTCACTTGACGCGCTCATGCTTTCCAAAAACGCAGTAAATTTGTTGATAAAAATACTGTAAAAATACCCATCAAAACTAATTTAATATTCGTCTTTATACTGTTGCGTTTTTTCTTATCAAACCACTGTTCTACATACTTATATATGTATACAATTGCATACGTTTGTATGTATAAATGTGTAGAGCTTTTAAATGCACAAGCATTCAAATTGTACATTAAATTGAATTTATCAATACTGTTTTTTCTCAAATTTATTTACCTTGCGTTTTTTCTAATATTTGTGTACGCTGTGTACAAAATAAGACTTTTCACTACTTATTGTGTACCCTTCTGTTTATTTTAATAATGGTAATGCTCCTTCTTAGAGACGTATGCATATCGCATCTTGCTTATCGATATTATAAATGAAACGAATTTCTTATATCAATAGTTTATTATCGGAATATATATTGGCGGGGTTTTCATTGTCTGGCTTTTTTTATGAGCTTCTTTGTCAAAATAAACTCAAAACGACATGTATATTTATAGCTACAATATTTGCGACTTTAATAATCTAAGCATATTAAACGGTACATCGATTATTGTGCGCGATATTCTTAGCAGCCACACTGACTGCCGGTGACAACTCTGGCCGATGGAGGTTAGCAGCATATATTGAGTATAACAGCGAGTTAACATTAACACTTGCTGCGGTATGAAGAAGAAAATGTTGAGAATTCCTCAAAGAAGAAGAAATGCTGTAAAGCATAACATTGCCAATCGCGAAGTGGAAAAGACATACACAATTGAGATTAATTGAAAAAAATAAGAGCTTGTAGAAATTAGTTGCTTAATTAAAATATTGGCCGGGAGTGAGCTACAAATTTTCCTTCTGTGCGTGCGTGTGCGTGTGTGTGTGTGTGTGTCAGGGTGAGTGTGTGTGCATAGAAACTAAGTAAATTGCACACACAGCAGTTCTAGCACACGGGAGTACGCCAGTGTTTAATTTAATTACAAGCCAAAAAGCAAAGGCAGGTGTGTGTGTGTGTTTGTGTGCGTGGTCGATAAATGTTTATATCAAAAGCAAGTTGGAAAACAGCTGGCATTAAACTAGCCCCGTTTGCAAAGTTCACGAAAACGCTAGCCGCGGCAGTGAGTTAGCGAAAAAATTGATTTTCCACGACGACTGCAGTAGTTGCAGAAAGCAGCGCACAGCTGAATAGTAAACCCTCGCCCAACACCCCCAATCAACTGTGCGTGTGTGTGTGTGCGTGTGTGTCAGTAAGGAAGGGCTGCCCGTTGTTACTGCAGCCAGCTTGTGATATAAGGCAGAAAAAAAAAGAAGAATCAAAAACGCGTCACTGCCGGCGCATGCAATGAATATTGTCGGGGAATATGAATACAGCTCCAAGGATATGCTTGGCCATGGCGCCTTTGCTGTGGTCTACAAAGGACGTCATCGCAAGGTAAGCAAACGTCACATCAATATCTTGTTTATCTAATGTATGTGTGTGTGTTTGTGTGTGAATGTTTTTGCAAATTTGTTATTGTTAATTTCAGTGTGTGGGCTTGGCTCGTATTTGTAAAAATGACAACAACAATCATTTTAACAATGCGCCATTGTCAAAGCAAACTCAAGCACACGAGCGGGCATGCGAAATTCGCATAAAACGCAATTAAAAAGTGTGTCCACACCTACAACGAAAGTGCTTGCCGCTCTTGCTCTTGCCAAATGTCAAAGGCGGCAGCCCAAAAACTGACAGCGCCGCGGGCAGAGCGACGTCGCAGCCCGAGCAGCGCGTTGCCCCTTTGTTGTTTGTATTTATAAAGACATACACATGTGCATACATATATATATTTTTTTTCCTGTTGGGAGCTCCTTGGGCGTTACTCGCTATCTTTAAATTTGGCTAGCGCTCGTCCGCGCTTGTTTATGTTTTTGTTTTGCCCATTGCTGCTCTTACACTTATCTTATTGTTTTCATTTTGAATTATTTGAAGGGAATTCGATCGATTGAAGCTGTTCAAAACACGTGTTTTCGTTAGTTTCGTATGCTTTGTTTTTGTTTTGCGACGCTTTTTGATGCGCACGCAACATACATACATACATACATACATACAATTGTTCGGCTTGCGAGCATTTCTACATATACATATGCATATATGCTTTTGCGCGTGTGTGTGTGTGTATGGTTTTCTGCGTGTTTTGCTTTAAGAGTGTTTTGAACTATTTCAGGGTCGTGCCAAACCATATTTCAACTTTGCTTCACTTTGTTTTGTTTTTGGGCGGAATTGGATGCGTAGGCCCATTAAATTACAGCAAAATAGTTGGGCACGTGTAATTTAATTTATCGCTAAACAAGATTGATTCAATTTAATTTTGCGTAAAATTAAACTTTGTTTTATACAAAGCTCAGATTTATATAGAAAATGCATATATGTACCGCACGCAGATTATTTATGCAGTTTTAAAAGTGAGTCCAGTTATATAACATCTGATATGAATAGCTTTGGGTTTTGAAATAACCCTCACTTTGTTGACGCCAATTTAAATTAGACTAACATGGCATACTATGCCAATATACAACAGATCAGACAGCATATTTTAACATGTATTAATGGTTCGAAATTTAACTCAATTTTGCCCAAAGACAAAAAGGGAATGTCAACAGAGACACACGAAGAAATATTGGAATCGAAGACAACATGAAATTCAGGTTCCGCCAATCTTTCGCAGACACAAAAGCAATCAAGAAATCAAAAGTTACAACTCGTGTGAAAATACTTATACGTATAATGAAAAATAGAAGGAGATGACAGCACGATGAGAGAGCAAGAGCGAGCGAGAGAGACGAAAGAGAGTCGTACGCGTGCAGCAAATGGGTCGCACTCTATTGTTGTTGTTTGTTATTATAGGTGGTTGTGTTGTTGTGATTGCATTGTAATTAATAGTGCGCCCATTAAAGGCAAGACGAACTTGAACAATAAAAAAAAACACACACACACACACACATACACACAAAACAAATGTGTCAGCTTTTTTTCTAGACCATTTGATAAGCGTTGCGATTTTTATGCATGTATGGGTGTGTGTGTGTGCAGCGCTAGTTTTGATTGCTTTGCTTTCTTGTTTCTAGTGTTTGTTCTGTCTCACAAATTTGCTGGCTGCTCTTGGCCATAAGGTCTGCCTATATATTTATATATATATATCTGTGTCATTACCATATGTTTATAAACAGAGATGCGTATCTTATGGATACCCAAAAAAAAAAATAAATGAATAAAAAACAGCTGATGCAATAACCCGCAACTGTTGCCGCAAAAGTTTTCATTTTTAGCATTTTACTCGGCTGTTTTCTTTGCTTTTGTTTTGATTTGTTGCTTTTGTTGTGCCATGTTTTACTTTGCCTTGATATCAGTTGCTTATTATGTGCTATTAACGTGATTTTTTATTTGCTAAAATTCATTATTCAACAAACCAACTTTAACTTTAACTGAGAAAGTTATATATATATATGCATAATTAAAGATAATTACGTTAACTGAAATATAGGAAGCTCTCGAACGCTAGACTAGACACACATCAGACTATATCCCATCAGGTTTTTAGTTAATTTATTGGTTCTGCTATCTGGTTTTGGCTTGGCCGCCTGTGACATTTATCCACAACGTTGCACGTGCTCCGCATGGCATCTATCTATAAATAGTTGGCCACAGCGAACATGTGCAGGCAGCAGGCAGACAGAACAAAGATGCAGTTGAAAGACTGAAAGATACTAAAGACTGCGACTAGACCCAAAATAAATCCCAATGTATACAGATGGCATGACATCGGCTGGAGCTAAGAACTGAATGAATTAATGACATATCCAACGAATGCACACATGTGCAAATTGTCGCCACGTGTTTCAAAAATATCGTAGTTCAGTTTTTGTTTTTTCCCTAAACTCTGGCTACGCTTCTGTTTGTGCTCGTGGCATTGCATAAGGCAAAAACCTGCATTGGGAATCATGCAAAAATGTCATTATAGCGCATAAACGAGGGCTATTTTAAAAGAATACGCTTAGCACAAAACAATTTCGAAAGTTATTTCTATAAAATCACATCTTTATCTTTGAGTTTAAACCCCACTTATAAACTCTTCCTTAACCTTTGAGTTTGTATCTCATTTATGAACTCTTTCTTAATCTTTGAGTTTGTATCTCATTTATGAAATCTTTCGATTTGCATCTTGATGTTTAAATAAAATGGAATTGTGCCTTGTTTTTGAATAACCCTCGCCATGCTCCTTGTGTTTCATAAAATATTATGACAAGGTTTTGTAATACTCTCTCCCTCTCCCCTCTTTCTGTTTTTCCCATCTGTCTAGCGCTTTGGCTGAACGCGTTTCAATTCTCGTTCATGTTGATATTAAATGTTGTTGTTGTTGTAATTGTTGTCGTTGTTTTTGTGATAGCTGTTATTTTAGTTGCATATTTACATTTCATAATTGTGCAATTGCATTTCGCATTTGATTTTGTCGCAGTTTGTTGCTATGAATTCTGTCGTTTTAAATGCGTTTCAAGGAATCGCCGGTCGGAACTTAACTTAATTCGAATTATACAACAGAATTAATCGAACTGTTTATTGCAAAATATTTATAATGAGTAAAACAAATTGGAATGTGATATGCAAAGTAATTCGATTGAATAAATTGAAAAGCGAATAAGAAATTAAATTGATTTCAAAGCTGTTCTTTCAAAACATTTCCCATTATCCAAAATGTTTCTAACTTTTAATTGAATGCATCTGAAATTGGTTTTCATTCATAATTGTAAGAATTTGATTATATTCTAGCAATTAATTAGATTGCAAAAGTTCCCGGAAATTACTTCTAAACATGGCCTTCAATGGTTCGCAAAGTTCTTGACCCAATCACCTATTTATATATATATAAATAGAGGGCAGAAAACAATCTTAAACATATTCCCGAAATGCGAATAAAGCAATAAATGAATACGAAATGTTGTCGCAAACGAATGTGAAAGTTGATGACGATTCGCCAAGCTAAAGCGGAAGCTGACACCACATGAACGCCACGAAAAACTTCACGAGAAATAGCAAAAGAAAAATGAAAAAAGAAAAATAAAAAACACATTTCAATTGTCGAAATTAGTTGAACGCATATATGACGAATGGTAATTTGGGTTAACCGGGGGTTCAATGCACCTTCCGGCTATGCGCGGCTGTGATAAGGCTAACAGGCCACAAAAATAAACAATCGCAAAAGAGATTTGTTGCCAAAGTGCATTGGCCTCCCAACAACTAAAATGGGGGGGGGAACACAAATTTTGGACAGAAATGGCAAAAGAAATAATTGCGCAGAAAATGCGAGAAACAAAGCAAAGCGGCAGCCCAACTCAAAGTATC